TCGCTACACACGCGACAGTGGCAGGGCCAATCTAGGGAGCAAGGAAGGTCTTGCGCTCCTGTCGCCCTGCCGCAGGGCCAACTTAAAAAATTGCCCCTGCTTGCCTACACACATCACAATTAAGGAGGCAATTAAGGGTCATCCCCACTCCTACACCCTAGCTTGCTCCTGCGGCAGGCACGTCAGTAGCCGCCTTTATTGTTTAGGTAAAATGATCAGTATGTAATAATTGTTTGTTTAGATTGTATTGTTAATTCTATCGAGTACAATTTTTTTAATTATTTATTTTGCATATGTGCTAATTTAATATAATATTACATTATATATCAGAATTACATTTTAATGACATTTTATTTTATATTTTAAAAGGTAAATTACAACGTGCTCATATTTCATTATTTTAATAATGAATTATTAGATTAGAATTATTGATTCCGTTACCAAAGTAATGCCGTAGAAATATATTTCAAAGCTTAGGCTTCGAATACATCACACGAATTAGGACACTACAGAATATAATAGGCTTGCCAACTATATTGCCTTATAGTTTTCATAGTGGCCAACCCGCTTGCCAAGTGTTCAAGCGAGTTGGCAACCGTTTTTAGGGTTCCGTATTTAAACAACAAGGAACCCTTATAGTTTCGCCATGTCCGTCAGTCCGTCCGTACGTCAGCGGTTTTACTCAGAGATGCTAGGCGCTACAAATGTGTAATTTGGCATAGTTCTAGGTATTAATCACGCCTACAAAATTGTGAAATAAAATCTTAAAAAACATTTTTATTTTGGGTACCTCCCATACAGGTAAAGGGAGGATGATTTCTTACCCGTCTATTCCATTGTGTGAGGTATTGTCATATAGGACTTTTAAATAAATTGATGGCATGGAACAACATTTTTTCGATTCAGATTCGGATTCGTTTGTGAAATATTTAGCTTTAAAGTGGTATTTTTCATTAGTGATGTGTCCCCCCCCTCCACCAATTAAAACGCTGTTTTTTGGAAATGTTAAAGTCTACACAATAATAGTATATATAATGAAGTTAAAAGGAAAACTATCACAGCCAAGTAGAATTAACAAGTTAACGAGTAATAGTCGACCAACTTATAAAATGCACTTGGTAGAGTAAAAGTTTTGTTACAATTCCATAGAAAATTAGGTACCTAAAATAGCTGCATATTAAAAAAAAACTTTTCGTTTTTGAAAACCTTTTTTGAATGCCACTCTATTACTCTGGAAAATGAGTACTTCAGTTACCATCGACCTATTTGGGCCCATTTTTAGTCGTTATAGCGATCAAACCGCGAACTCACTTATTATGCTCGTTATCAAGTAAGCTAACGTATTGTGACGGGCAATTACGGAACCCTACCTCTACATTGTGCGTGGCCCGACACTCATTTCGCTAGTTTTTTTTTTTCAAAAATGGCATCGGCTTTATCCGTATGAGGGCGACCGCGAGCAGCTGCATCTTTGACATCAAAATTCCCGGACTAAAAACGCTTGAAACAACTTTGAGCTACTCTCACTGACACTGCATTAGGTCCATAAACGTCACAAATTTTTTGGCGGCTTGAGTTGCATTTTAACCCTTTTTTGTAATAAAACTTCAGAATGTATCGAATTTCTTCGTTAGATTCACTCATTTCGGCGGACAGGAAAACAATTGAAAAGTGGCGGGAAAGTGTTTTTTACTTTTTATTTTTCTTTTTCTTAATGTCCTTTAATATGTGTAGATATTAAAACCAGCCAGATACAAACAGTACAACTAAAGATTTTTCTTCAATCTTTCAAACAAAATACGAAGAAACTTTTACCCCCACCTATTAGTATAGTATTTTGCTTGGGGAAACGGGACTGACACTGAAATTATATTTGTTTATCAGAATAGGTCCATCTATAGGAGCAATCTCAGTCTATAATCTCAATAAGAGCAATATATTTTTATTTTGTGTAAATTTTGTGAAATAATTAAGATCTTTATGTTTTTTGGAATTTGACACGTAACTTATTGTGCTCTTTAGAATGGTTACAATATTCTTTTTGTTTTTCTTGTCTATTTAAATCATAGAATTATTACCCCGTAATAATTCTATGATTTAAATAATTAAATTACGCTACCTGCGATGTGTGTCAAGTTTGGCAAATATCCACTCTATGGGACACAGAACACCTAATATAGCGGAATAGAAATGCCTTTGTTTCAATTTACTTGCAGTACCACTGCCGCCGCTAGTCTCCCCACTCCCGGCTCGTATAACATTTCTACTATATTAGGTGTTCTGTGCTATGGGACTAGGGTTGCCATCTCGTAAAATGAAAAAGCCGGACTCGGCGCTCCAAAAAGCCGGACTTGGCCCTAAAAGCCGGACAGTAATTTTTAGCCAAACATACTTTTCTGAGGACATGCAGCCAAAAAACTCACCAACTCCAACCCCCCGAGAAAATAAATAAATAAATAAAATACTCCTTTACATACGTTAATTGTTTATTAATCAATCACAGCACAGTTTCAAGTGTATACGTTACTTATTTATTTATTCTGCAAGCGATGCGTGCAATGCGTTACACTAACCCTAGGCCCTTTTTACTGGAAATGAGGCATTCCATCTTAGTCCTCACGGGTGACAACGCATCTACATTTTGATTTGTAATAGAGGATAGATGTAGATGTCTATGGGCCGCAGCAACCATTTACCATCAGGTGGACTGTGTGCTCGTTTGTCACCCTTATCCTATAAAAAAAAACTAACAAAAAGCCTAACAAAAGCCGGACAGGCCGGACACATAAAAATTTGGTCGGACACAACCCGAAAAAGCCAAACATGAAAAGATAGCAACCCTATATGGGACAATCTATGGGGTAGGCCTATGTTTAACATTAGGACTTTTGATGGGCCATAATGATGATGAATATACAAAATTAAAAGAAATTCTTTAAATTCTGGTTAAACCGTTCAAATTCCTGTGCGAAGACGTAGGCATTAGACAGACGCAGATATACAAAGTCGTTTTGTACTATAGATGGATATTACACGACTCATCCACACGTACGGAGAATGTCCAGCGTCAGAGACTTGAAATAATAATACAAGAAGAGCCAGAAAACGAAAGAAGAGTTGAAGAATTATTACAGGTATGTTAATATGTGTTACGTGTTATTTTTGATTACTATTTGATTATTTGTTGGTTGGTTACTATGTGAATCCTTTCTCCGAAAGTTGATGACTGAAAATTCATCTAAAGTAAAGTTGCAGCCTATTTACGTCCCACTGCTGGGCACATGTCTCCTCTCATGTCTGAGAGGGTCTTAGGGCAAGGATATGTCCGCCATGCTGCCCCAATGCGTGGAGGCGAATTTCACATGTCGTCTTCTTAAAAAAAAATTATAATAATAAAATTACCTCTGCTGAGAAACGTCTTCTCTTATTATTGGAGTAAGAGTGAAAAAGCGAGGAGTCCATTATACGTGCCTTTGAAATATATGTAACTAACTATCCGCCCCGCTTCGCACGAGCAGCACCTCAGTCTAAGTATCTCCGGCCAAATGAAGTGAGGTGAGAGTTGGTGACAAGGGCTGAGTAGAGGTAACTTTATCATACCGGCCTGTTGCGTAGCACTCCTAGATTCCATTCATATTAAAATATTTTTAACTCATAATCTTCACAGAACATTATGTAACCGATTCTTTCGATTAAAAATAGGCAAATAATATTATTTTTAATGAACAATCAAAACGAGTATATATCTTGGCGAGGAATCCGCAGTCGCTCCCGTATTGCGTACACAAACACTTGTAGAAACTTAAGGGGAAATCCGGACTCCAAAAAATTACAAGAAAAGGTTTTTAGCGATCTATTGCCATCGTGCAGTACCTATCTAACGACCAAGATAGGCCACCCAGATATGATTATAATTATAAAAAATTCACGAAATCTTCATCCAGTTAAATAGTTAAAAATATAAGAAGGGTTTAGGCCACCGCTATTATACAGGGTTATTTTTCAAAGAGTAGCCAAATTTTAAAATTAAATTCAAATATATACCTAAATAATTATATACCGTTATTGCAATCTTTAAGAATACATGTAAATAAGGCTTCTACTTTTATTTGAAATTATACCAAATTGAATTATGATTTATGGGCAACAATGATTTTGCCTACCGATCGACCCTTACGAATGTGTGTGTTCAGTTAAAATCAGTAGGACTTCACTCAATATCTTAAGAACTGTACGTGCAGGCTTATCCATGAAATTTTAAATTTCAGGTATTCAAGGGATCATAATTTTACAAGTTTGTAGGTCTTACACTTTTTGTGTTATGGAGAGGTTAGTTGTAGTGAGTAAATAAACGGAACTGCCTGTGCGTCGCCCTTTTTACGAACTTAAACTGTAAATCCTTAATAAAATATACTTTGTTATCTACACTAATTACAGTTAATCTGAGTTTTAAACTTTATGATTTTTTATGTTCACTTTGAACACTGTCCTAAATGTGTCGGTCACTTGTGCCATCACACTAGTTAACATACTACCGTGTTTGTGTCTCGACATTCTTTTTGGAAGTAAAGACTAGAAATGAGTTGGGGGTGACTCGAACTTTAGGCCTAGTCAGTTTCAATAGCCTATCATGTAGAGGATGTCATGGGGGTCATGGTTGAATAGGGACAAAAAGTTCTCATCACACTCCTAGAGGTTCAAAATGACCAAAGACCAAAAATTTGGCGAGATGGCTCGAACTTTAGGCATAGTCAATTTGAATAGCTATCATGATGTAAAGGATGTCATGGAGGTTGAATAGGGGCAAAAAATGGTCAATACCCAAAAAATTTAAAATTCTCATATCGGCTATAACTTCGCCTCCTTCGGAGGTTCTTACAGTCTTTACTTCCCGCATCCCACTTGTTTTCATAGTGTACCAGCTTTCATATAAATTTTATTTTCAGAAAAGCAATAATGTGGTTGCTAACATTGACGAAATAACACTTAAGGAACCGACTATGCCTGAAAATCTGTTAGTAAATGTAAGTTATCATTGTTTAAATTATAATTTAAGTTTAGTTTTAGCTTTAAGCATTTTCTAAATTTTTATTATTAAATGACAATAAAAATTTACAATATTATTTTTTAAATTATATTGTAAATTTTTATTAGCTTTGTTTGGTAGAAAATGTCATTTAAAAATATCAAAGTAGCTAAGATTCGCGTGAATAATAAAATGGTGTGTTTGACTTAGTTTATAGAGCACCTTCCTCCCTGTGTGGCGGATCGAACCGGGGTGGTACTACCTTACAGAACACCAGCGTGAAGTAGAAGTTTACTTCTGCGTTTACACGGCGAGTGCAGGTGGCCGGGGGCCCAATACATCCCCCCCTCCCCATTAACATGGTAGCGGAGTTAAATAGAACACTACCCCAGGAGGGCACCAGCACCTCTGGTGACGGAGAATCCCTCGCTGAGCATCCACGCTCCCTACTCTTCCTGAGCGTGGCTGCTCAGGCAGCCCGCGTATTCTTGCGGGCGAAATTCTGTTCAAAACGGAACCTGCTTGGGGCAAGCAAAGACAAAGGCAATCCCTGCCACGCTATCCGTGAATTTCTGCAACATAAGGGGACTTCATTCAAACCTTAACGCCGTCCATCTGGAGACTGCAAATCCGGCCTTGCTCTTTCTTTGTCCTCTCCGGCTGATACTTAGTATCTCTCCTACTCGAGGTACAAATTGGAACACTCCTTTGTGCCCCGGGCTGGAGTTTGCGTGTACGTCAGAGTTAACATCTATTTTCGATGCCTCGGCAGACTTGATGGTACGAACCATCCATCCATCCTATGGCTGCGCGTAGACAGCGACGACCATCCCTACGTCTACGGGTGCATCTATAGGTCCTATAGCGGTAATGCCGACACAGACCGACTCATCGACGACGCTCAAATGGCTGCAGACTCCGTGCTAGAACAGGTCCCATTCGCAGAGATCGTGATGCTCGGTGATTGTAACTCCGACTACGCTGAATGGCTTGGTTCCTGTTTAACCGATCATGCGGGTAGATCTGTTGATGGTTTTGCCTTGGCATAATATATGGTCTGACACAACTGGTTACTTCGCCTACGCGATTCCCAGATGTGGAGGATCATCTACCTTCCCTATTGGATCTTATGCTGATAATATCTCTAATGTTAATAATAAATTGGCGAATTGATTATTAACATCTTTAATATGTATTTCCCCAAAGTAACGCCTATAAGTATTCTATTGATCGTCTTATGCATTTTTAATCTTAGGATGGTTTCGGCGAGCTTCGCATTGATCAACAGATCGCTGACCGTTCGATGGAGCTGATGATGCAAGGCGACTTATCTGCAATACAGCACAGTCTGATCGACCTTCCCGCAGACTTCTCCACCGACAAGTCCAAGCTTGCCTCTCACGACGCGCAGATGGAAACAATATCGGAACAAGATATCACCATGTTTCGCAAGTGTTAGTAATTACGACCCAAAAAAGTGACATAGACTGAGCGTTGCGTATACTTATTTTTAATGACACAATAAGCATGCTCTACTCTCTCAACACGCACTCACGCACACATCTTTCTTCCTTTTTGCTTCATCAGCCCATCAAATTTCAATGTTGGACACACACAAATGAAACTAAAACAATGTTGTTAGTTGCAAATTATTTTAGATGCAAATTTGTACGCGAGTGCGTGTTATTTATTTATGTTTGTATACCGTGTAGTGGCGGTGTAAGGAATATCCACTACCACATATCGTCCCGTAGGTGTCGTAAGAGGCGACAGAGGGAAACAAGTCGGGAAACGGGCAGCAGCGTCTTCCTGATAACGATTAAAAATAAAGAATTAATTTGATTAATTGAATTTAAATGAAACTAATTTAAAAGAAACAGTCGTGTTTGTTAGATTTCATATTTTGTAAAGTCAAAAGGAAAAGCTTATAAAATATAATTTATATTTATTGTTTTAATATAAGGTGTAGCGTTACAGGAAAAGGATTTAGAATAGAAATGATTATTTTTATTACACTGTTAAAAACCTTCTTCACAGCCGTTGCAACCGACCCCGTTCCAGTTGGCGATTTTGAAAAAGGTACATTTACGGCGTGAATATGATGATAAAAACATTTTTTTTTAATTTCTTGATATAACAATAAACATAATGCTCACAGAAATCCCTGAAACCTCCGAAATCCCGCATCCTAACCTGAATACTCCGACTCCGATGCCGTTAGTGTTTTGTCAAAATAATTAATTACTTGTACTTCATTCTGGTAACAATTTTTTTTTATAATTTATTTTATTTTTTTCTGAAATATGGTAAGTTTTTTATCTTGTTATACATGGAATTGCCCTCATTAAAATTTATATTTATTTAACTACAGGCAAACTGTTGAACAGCAAGCCATCGATGTTTCGGTCGTTCACGAGCCACGTAAAGACGTTCCAACTGAGGCTACCATAGGAAAGCCGACTGAACAATTAGTTTTAGAGGTAATGAAAAAAAAACCTTGCTAGTAGAAAAGGAACACAACAGTCATTACGGCGATAATATGTAAATTATCTGTTGAGTCAATGATTTATGTATTTTTTTTTCAAGTTAAGATTAATATTTTTTTAAATTGTCATTTCGTGGTGTTTCAATAAACTTTTCTTAATCCTTTTTTAAAAGTATGGATTGTTCTTGAAGGAGGTAATTAAAACCATAACATTTTAGTGTAGCCCACACGAATTTTTTTTTTACGTGGTAGAGCCATGCTGCAGCTGTATTAATAGTATAGTTGTAGCACGAATGGGTCGGCTCGACCGGGGAAGGACCACGCTCTCACAGAATACCAGCGTAAAATAGCAGCTTAATGCTGCTGTGTTCCGTATGGTGAGTGTAGAGAACCGGAGACCCTTTTTACTGGAAAAGAGGCATTCTATCTTAGTCCTCACGGCTGGCAACGCATCTGCATTTTATTTCGCAAACGAAGATAGATGTAGATGTCTATGGGTCACAGCAACCACTTACCATCAGGTGGAATGTGTGCTCGCTTGTCACCCTTATCCTATAAAAACAAATGTACATTAGTGTTAGATGTAGAATAAGGGATTAGTCTTTTTAAAGTCATAGTACCTGCAATACGTCTTCTCGTTAAAAGCTTCCTACATGACAACAAGATCAGCAGGCATCCATCTTGGTTACCGTGAAATCACTATCGCTCTTTACATTTTCTTTATACGTGGTAGAGCAACGCTGCAGCGATAACTGCTACAGTTGTAGCACAAATGGGTCGAAAAATAATACCAACGTAAAATAGTTTAATGCTGCTGTGTTTCGTATGGTGGGTGTAGCGAATTGGAGATCATTTTAACTGGATACTTTTTACGAGGCTTCCCATCTTAATACTAATGGGTAAAATCGCATCTGCATTTTGATTCTTAATCGAGTATAGATGTAAATGTCTGTAAGCCACAGCATCTACTTGCTATCAGGTGGACTGTGTGCTCGTTTGTCACACTATTCTTTTAAAAAAAATTATTAAATATTCAAAACTACAGTGGTACCTCGACATACGAGTTTAATTCCTTGCTCGTATCTTGAATTACTCGTATCTCGAAGCAAATTTCCCCATACAAAACAATTGAACTACCATTAATCTGTTCCAACCCCCAAAATGTCACCCCAGTTATTTTTGTTACGTAGTTTTGAATAATAAAAACGTATTTATAAATGACAAATATTTATTGTACAAAAACAAAAAAGAGAATGTAAAGAAATAAAATAAATTAAATATCCTTACTGGTCTTTGCCTTTTTCTTGGCGAACACAACTACACAACTTATCCGAACCGAAATAAACCGAAACTCGTGTCTCGAATTTCGCTCGTAACTCAAAGCAAAAAATCACTCGCTCCCGGCGAGCGTATCGAATCTCGAAAAACTCGTATGTTGGGGCACTCGTATGTCGAGGTACGATATCTTATGTCGATTATTTATAGTTTCATTTCGGGTATTCGATTGTTTTTCTTCGATCTTCATTACATCCCTGAAAAGTAGAACTCCTTTTGTGCCAGGAGTCTGTCTGGTTAGGTACCAATCTCCATAATCCACTGCTGTGTACCGGCCTGAAGGGCTTCATCCGATTCTAATATTATTAACAAAGCCAGTATAAAAGTATATGAGTGTACTGTGAGGAATCCCATATTACCTCAGAGGTTGTCACCTCGTATCTGTAGCCTTCTTTGTTTGAGTTGGTCCATGATCTGCAGTGACCATTTACCATCAGGTGTATAAGTTTGATTATCACTTCAATTTTATTAAAAAAAAATTTAATTAATTTTTATAATATGATGTATGTTGATTGTATAGGAGTTGGAAGATATGGAGCCGCAAGCGAAACGGCGACGTCAACAAAAACTCATCATTGACAAGAAGACCAAGCTGAGTACAGAGTACTTGCGCTCCAGAATTGACAATACTGCCGTCGAGTTACGATGCCAAGTACTTTGCTCCTTATCACTTACAGTGTTTCCAAACTATACGAACTAACAAAAGTGGATACTACAATAAAATATATTTTAATGTACACACATAGAAAAAAGTTTGTGATCAATTTGAAAAATCGAAATCTTTTTTGTTACGGTACTATATTAACTATATTATAATTTCTTCTTCTTTTAAGGTTCTTTACTTAAAATATAGAATTAGAATATAAAACAATAAAACAAATTCAATTGTTTTTCATATAAAAAGAAATTCAATTCAAGCTTATGCCCAATTTTAACGGATTTATAATATTTTTTTGAGAAAAGTTGTGACTGAGAAAATGCCGAGAGGATTATCAGAAGTTTTACGAGAAAGAATTGTAACTTTGAGGGAAGAAGGATATACCAGAGAAATAGCAGGCAGAGTTGCTGTATCCCAATCCTGTGACGTGGCCACGTTGCAGAGGTACCACGGCATGGACAATTTAGCTGACCGACCCCGCAGTAGTCGCCCAACTGTTCTGACTGCACATTGCAAGCAGCCCGTGACCCATCAAAACACCACTACAATACAAGCAGAAGCGCGGGCCGCCTCTGGACTTGAAGTTAGCACTCAGATCAGACCATTCGGAATTGCTTTCACCGGGCCGGACTACGAGCACGGTGGTCTTAGCGAGCATCTCCGAATTCATGGCAACGTCAGCGACGGAGATTGCAGTGGGCTAGGCTTAGGCTCCGGCAAAATGAAGAAGATGAGGAGGAAAACATTTGGCAAAACTGTCTCTTCGTTGACGAATTGCGAATCAGCAATACCAGATAACCAACGTGTACGTGTCTGGAGAAGACCTGGAGATTCTGAAAAACGGGAAATCGGTGTCCTTTGGAGTGGAATTGTGATTGGAGCCAGAACGCCTTTGATCCCGTATCGAGGCTCCATGACGGCAGATAAGTACAAAACAGTCGCTATTGATAGAATTGTCAAACCTTCCGAGTAAACCATGGGCGCCAATTCGTACTGGTCGATAATAATGCGCCATCGCACATCGACCTCAACGAGTCAATGCTGCTCTCCGAGAATGCAACATCATAAGGTTAGACTGGCCTGCCGGCTCGCCTGACTTAAGCCCAATAGAACACGCGTGGGATGCTCTTAAGCGAGCTGTTTGGAACCGTCAGCCACCTCCCCATATACTGCCAGATATCAGGGAAGCCGATATTCAAGAATGGGACAGGTTACTGCAAGACATGCTGGAAAACCTGAGTCTCAACATGCCCAGGAGGATCTCCGTATGTGTTCGAACCAGGGGAGGAGTTATATTGTATTAAATAAAAACCTATTAATAAATTGTTGTATAAGTATGGTTAGATAAATTTTTTCTTTCCATCACATTTCTATTACAATTTCATTAGAATTGAATTATTCAATATTAGTTATTTAAAAATAAAAAAAGAGTTTAATTTTTTAATTAGAAACAGTGAATTTCTATTTAAAAAAAGATATAACGTAAACACTTTCTTGATAAAGTTAAATTTTAAAAATATATCAGCTTTTGCTAGTGATCACAAACATTTTTTGATGTGTCTATATTATGAACCTACAAAACCTATAAGGCCCTCCAGACCGCATTTTTGTCACGGCGGAATGTCTCAAAGGAGACTAGACAAGACTGTATGCGCAAGCACAGGTCTCTATTCCCTCACTCCCATAATCCGATAGAACCCGACCGGAGAAAGATCAGGCGCAGGAACAACAACTTGACGTGCTTTCCGAGGCACGGAGTGAAACACCACTAATTTCCTGACTCCGGGCTACTGACTACTGAGCATTTCTTGACAAAGTTTCCGTTTTTTTTTCGTTTTCTTTATTTAGGGATTTTTGTTTGTTAACAAGTCAACCTCATCATAACTGACTTACAATCTATGCATTTACCAATAATCTGCACATACTAAATGCCATAAAAACCTGTATGTCTGAGAAATTAAACAAATATACTCGTATATTTCGAAAACATGTGCAGTCCGTCAACACGCAATGGGGCAGTGCGGTAGACCCTTTTCACTGAAAACAAAGCATTCCATCTTGGTCCTCAGGTGTGACAACGCATCTGTATTTTGATTTTTAATCGAGGATAAATGTAGATGTCAATGGACTGTGTGCTCGTTTATCACCCTTGTTAAAAAACTTGTCCCAAAACCCTGTTAGAAATGACAGGAGACCTGACGGAGGAGGAGCAACCTGTTAATCTCATTGATTAATTTGGTGTGGTAATATCCACCCTTTACTCCATATCGTCCCTTGGGTGTTGTAAGAGGCGACAGAGGGAAACTCAAAACTCCCGTTGTCCTCATCCCCTGATGAGCAGCATCATCTTTCTGATAACAACTACAAAACAAAATTGAAACAAAAATGATAAAGAACTGCGGTTACCAGGCCGCCTGCCAAGTGTGGCAACTATGGCAAAATGCCCCTTCTGATGACTATTTTCAGAAGTAGCTTTTTGCCCCGGGTGGCAGATTTTAAGGGGCGGTATTTTAGGAAAGAAAATTCAACTCCCTCACAATTTTAAAGTGATGCTACGAGTAATAAAAAATTGCTGTAATAGAAATATAACGAGTATAATAGCATTGAAAGTTCTGAAGGAAGAAGATCTGTACGCACGCTTGCCAAGTGTTTAGACAAGTATAAGAAACTAGCTCTTGCTCGTGGCTACGCCCGCTTGAAGGCTGGAAAACGACAGCATTTCGACATATAGCCTATGTTCATCCTTATTATAGCAGACTTCGCTTAGTGGTTAGAAATAATATTTTTGTTGCTCCAACACTATCATAATTTCAAGAATCCTTATGATAATATTTTTTATAGAATAAGGGTGACAAACGAGCACACAGTCCACCTGATGGTAAGTGGATGAAGTTGCCCACATACATATACACTTACTTACTACACTTTTTACAGTTACCAATTACTTGACACCATAATATTATTTGTTATCTTAATAATAAGAGAATATTTGATATGAATAAAACAATAACTTTTAACTTCCGTTTACAGTCAAATATGATTGCATGTAAAAATTGCGTCTCTTACCTTCTCCATAAGTCGAATTTCAAAAATTATAAACCTAATAACTGATTATAACTAAATAACATAATAATAATAATATTAATATTAGTAATCAAAATTAATAACAGTAATTATTAAGGAAGAATCTTACTACAACAAAGTATTTTACTATTCTTAAAAAATATGGCGACAGAAATAAAAACAGTCATGAAACCTTAACCACTAAATTGTTTACATAATTCTGAACTGTCCGTTGAATTGTAATGATTGATTAAAAAAATTTATAATTATTATATACATTTGATCCACAGGCTGTTTAGGAATAATCTCAATATTAACGTGATTGTCAAATAAAAGAAAGAAAATATTTGCAACTGTATTTTTTAATATTACCTTCTAGTTTTCTTATTTTAATTTTCTTTTTGTAACTTTTCACAACGTCCTAATTATATATAATATAAAGTATATATTTTATATCATTGATTTTGTCGTTGCAATTATAAATTGATATGGAATTCATAACTAATGTTATAATTCCAAATAGGGAATAAGTACAAAAATTATATTTTGGAAAAACAGGATAGTTCGGAGGACGTAGTGAATATCCGAGTACCCGCGGATACGTACCTGAGTCGTCCCGCTCACGCAGGGGAAAAGATCCGCTCTAACTTGCCTCAAGTTATCTCGCTGCTTTTCCTACGCAACTTGGGCGTCTTAAATAGAACGCCGATGGCTGACAGAGAAATGGAGGTAATTTGTTTCATAACTTGTGTTTTAACTTGTAAGTAAAGTACCAACCTGCATTTTAAATGTAAAATTAAACGTCCGACTACTGTCTAATTTCTGACAGGGTTGTTTAATAGACCGCCGCGCTGCTTTAGTTGATGGTTTTCTCATATCCCCAAAATATTAATCCGACATGCGGATTTCCTCACTATGTTTTTCTTCACCGCCGAGCACGCAGTAAATCAGCACTTAAAATTGCAACTAACAATTCTATTGGTGCCTGCGCGGATCGTACTCGAGTTGCTCGCGTACTGGAAAATTTACAGCGAGCGCTTAGCCCCTGAGCTATCACGGCTCTCGAAAATGTAGAAATATCACAATGCACGTTGCATTGCATTTCAAAGTATAAAGAATTTTGTTCATTCAATAAAGGTAGAGGTTCTATATTTGACGCGTGTGTATATATTCAATTCCTCGGAAACTGCTGAACCCATTTAAACGATTTCGATTCTGTTAAATAGCTCATCAAATGGGGTCCCATCCATTACAGTCTATTATAGTTCGCCACTGAACCTAGGCCTCCGCCATGCATTGCCTTATAAGGGTGGTCCTATTTAAATTTGAAGAAATCATTCCAGTCCTCAGTGTGGAAAAAATAGGGGCTGAAATATTTAATTAATTAATTACTTAGACGTTATCCTAGTTGTTACATCGAACTTGTGATATTGCAAAAAGGTAAAAAAATATAATAAGAAAAAAAATTATTTAGTCTTCCATAGATTTATTCTTAACGTCGACTCTAGAAGCAATTTTGTGGAAATTAGTTTATTCTTTTGAGTTTTTAACACGATTTTTACATTTTATAAAACGTATAATTTTTATTTTAAATTTAAAGATATAGAACATAACTTGTATTTAACATAAAATTCGCGTAGGAAGCAGTGATCAAAGAGAGAACGAGACAGTCCCACACGCGTTCCAACCTAGAAACAACAGGGCAGGAAGTACAGCAGCCTCATGAACAGCCTCAAGTTGAAGTGCCCATGCAGATAGAAGAAATAGTTACAAAAGAGCTTCACGTTGAACAATTGGGCTTCGCCGAGTTACCAACGCAGGTTGTAGAGACTTTGTCACAGCATGCTACGAGACTACGAGTAGCTAGCGAGATTCCAGTTCCTGTGAGTAATATTATTTATAACTATTTGTTAGATTTATTTGGTTACCCTTGACATCTTACAAACATAAATTACACGTGGACCCAGACCCAGAATTATTTGTAGATTCTACAAATATTTTTCCGTGTGGGAATTGAATTCGCATCCCTCAAATCCTGACCAAAAAAGCGTAGCCACGGCGCTACTAAGCCGTCGCATACTTTTTATTTTTTAAGGTAAGTAAGCAACTGGCCAACGCTGAACATGAACGTCTCCCACTTTCAATGATTTTACCCATTGAACCATTACGGCTTACTTTACGACACAATTGATAATTTATATATACGAGTTGTACTATTAAAACTATCGACACAAGAAACATTATAAACCGTTATTTTTCTTCTTCTATGCAGAGAATCAACCCATTACATTTTTTTTAAATAGAAATAGGGAGACAAGCGAGCTCACATCCAACCTGATGGTAAGTGGATGTTGTGGCCCATAGATATAAGATAGCTGCAGCATGGCCCTACCATGTAAAAAACTTTAACATTCGGTATTATATACATTATTCATCATTTTTACTGGAAACGGGGCTATCCATCGTAGTCCTCAGCAGTGAAAACGCATCTGAAATTTGATTTTTAGACGACGATAGACGTAGATGTCTATGAACCACAGCTTACCATCTATTACCAGGTGGACTCTGTGCACGTTGGACACCCTTAATCTATAAAAAAAATCACTTTCGACGCTTCGAGCAAATATTTGTTCATCAATGCACTGCACGGTTACTGTGTAGTTGAGGTGTAATAATACACTAGAGGAGACCGGGGCCACAATTAACAAAAATTGTTTTTTTTTTGCAAAATGTTTTTAAGTAAACTAATCGGTAACTTGCTTGAATAACTCTCCTCGTAAACTTAAATAACTTTATAATTAATTTCGCCCTAGCATAGCAGCGAAAGAGAATCGACAACTCTCCCATCATTCCTTGGGTGTCGTGAGAGGCGACAGAGGGATACTGAAACAGGAAATACATTTTCCTGAAAATAACTCAAAATACAATATAATCTCGATAACTCGAATTTCAAGGGAAATAGAAAAAAAATCGAGAGAATTTTGAAAAAATTTAATGAGCTTTCGACAACAAAAATATGAGATTTTTCCCAAACGTAAATGGTCTAAGGTGTGTTTACACCTTAGACCATTTACTAAGAAACACGCATAAGGTACACAATTATCTTAGAAGGTTTAATGAATGTATTCATTCAGTCATTGCACGTGTACAAAGTATAGTATACACGTGGTAGAGCCATGCTGCAGCTATATTAGTAGTCTAGTTGTAGCACGAATGGGTCGGCTCCACCGGCGAAGGACCACGCTCTCACAGAAAACCATCGTAAACACTGCTGTGTTTCGTATGGTGAGTGTAAAGATCCGGAGACCCTTTTTACTGGAAAAGAGGTATTCCATCTTAGTCCTCAAGGGTGACAACACATTTTGATTTTCGCAAACGACGATAGATATAGATGTCTATGGGCCACAGCAACCACTTACCATCAGGTGAACTATGTACTCGTTTGTCACCCTATCCTATAAAAAAATACCTACACATAATAGAACAGAAGCAACAAACATTGCTTTTGGATTTTATTGCCATGAGTTCGGGTAATTTAATTATTCATTTCATCGATCATTAAAACATATGTGGTGTAATATAATGAATTTGGATATTGTCATTATATTCTAGTAACTTCGACTTACAGTTTGCTTTTTGAAATTTGAGTTATAGAGTATAAATATATGTACTATCAATACCTCGCCGTAAAATAACGTTTTGTTCGAGTTACAGTCTAAATAATTCAAGATACCGCGTATTTTGGGGTTCAGAGGACGGGAATGGCAATTTTTTTTCGTCTTACTAAGGACTAGCTGTTCCCCGCGACTTTCATGTTTTTTATGCCGAACCCTAATTCTTTTTCTAAAATAAAAGTAGCCTAAGTTACTCTTTATGAAATCAGCTATTTGCCAGGGAAAATCTCGTCAAAATCGGTCCAGCCGTTTCGGAGATAAGCCGGAACAAACAGACAAACATACAAAAATTTTAAAAACTGTATTTTAGTTATAAGTACCGTATTTACTTTCATATGCATTTAGTAAAAGCTGTAATTTTGACATTACAGACACTTCAATTTTATTTATTTGTATAGATGTATAGATTACGATTTGTCGAGGTTCGAGTTATCGAGATTACACTGTAATAATAAAAACTGCGGTTGTCAACCCGCCTCCAAAGCATGGCAATAATGGCAAATAATCCAACCAAGGAGACTGACTGATCGACTCATCACGATATCTCCAAAACTATACACCCGATAGACTTGAAATTTAGTATAGTTCCTCATTTCGCAATGTTGCTCACTAAGAACGGATTTTACTATAGTCTTATCAAAAAAAATATTCTTGATATTTTACATCTAGGTTCCGCATTAAAATATTATCGTGCCATCAGCTAGTAGGAGGCTATAATGGTGGTTATGATGACCTGTTAACTGGTTTACTGACATGAAATTGACAGAATTATATTAAGATTTTACACCCGAGTTACAAAGAAAACAAGAAGAAGATTATTTTAGATTTCTGTGATTCTGAAGTTGTCTTATATCTACATATATATTTTATTATTTGTATGTATGTGTTGCAGGCAAAAAGACTTCGCACTATGGGCCATGTGTCGTATAGACACAGCAAGGAGCTAGTCATAGAGGCGGCCATTTCTGTTCACGGTAAGAAAGTTCTTACGTAGATACAATACAGAGTTAGTGGCACGTCTCTCTCCGGTCGTGTCAATCCGTCATGATTCCCATTGAACTATGAGAGTGAGGTTAAGTAAGTATGCGATTTCGTCGCAGGTAACAATGCGATTTAAAATTCCTTCGTTTTTGTGTCTGTGCAAGTGCACGGTGCTGGCGATCGTGGGGCACCCATTTGTCAAACTTTTTTACCTTGACAATTTGATGCAAATGGACCAATATTGTTTTGATGCTAACGTCGAAAGTTGCTGTTAATTCAACCGTAGATTGACTATCATCCGCTTCCACAATCGCCTTTAATTCGTCATTGTGGACCAAAGTTTTCGGACAACTATGAGGGTTCATTTTTCAAGTCGTAATTTCCAGAACGGAAGCGGTCAAACCAATTTTAATGGAAACCTAAATAAACCAATTTTAGTGGTACGTTCGTTTGTAGTATTCGCTCTGTAAACCTTGTTGATGTTGCATGTTGTTTATGGAACGTTTGTGTCGTGTTGCTGCCAAGACGGTACTCATATTCCATAATTACACGAACTTTAACATATCCATGATGACGAAAAAGATTTAAATGCGATAAAACATAACGCTAATCAATAAACAAATGACTAATATTGAAAAAAATTCCATGTTTTTAAAATAAAATTAATTTGAAATTAGAATTTTTAGCTAAACAAAAGTTATTTTGATTTGAAATGGCCAGTACTGCAGAACAGTAATTTTATATTTCATAGGTAAACACCTATTATTTGCTATATTATAGAAAAAGAATGTCACAACTGACAGTGAAAACGAAATGCTTAGTCGGTTAATAAGTTCTGTCAAAACCTTATTATTTAAAATTTTTGAATACTGGCTAGATGAACTTCACCAATTTTAAAAATATAACGTTTGCGCTTGCCGAAAATAAAAAAGACATTAATTTTCAAATATGGAATGGTCGAAGAAAGAAGATAGAGTAGCGGTTATCGCGTTGCACCGCTGTAGTTATGCGCCAAAAGAGATTTTCAATATTCTACAAAAATTTGAAATAACCCTACGATTTGTTTATCGCACTATCAAACGATACACTGAAGATTCAAGCCATCCAAATTAATAAATCCAACGAAATCCTGTTCGTAAACAAAAAAATCTTAGCTCTTCAGATGAGCCTAAGCAGAACCCCGGTCAAAAGATCAATGAAGACCTAAGACTACGAGCTCATTGTAAGAAGACCGCACATTTTTTGAACGAGCGTTTGAAAAAAAATAGGCTGGATAGATACCGCGCTTTGTTACGGCGCTATGGGGGAAAAATACCGCGAAATTTCGTTTTCGGATGAAAAATTTTTTAACATCGAAGAAAGTTGTAATAAACAAAATAATAAGGTGTATGCCCACAGCAGTGTAGAAGCCAGCACGCGTATTCCGGGGGTTCAACGAACTCATTATCCTTCGTCACCCTTTGTCACTCATGGTTTGACTTGGAGTCTCATATTCAGGCTTAACTGGTTTTTACACCTTTTTCACAGAACACCTCAGTTCTGTGAAAAAGGTGTAAAAACCAGTGCCGAGGTGTACCAAAATACCGTCCTAACAAACATAGTGGAACCTCTTTCTCAAACAATGTTCGAAAACATACATTGGATATTCCAACAGAACTCTGCACCAGCTCATACGCCACGAAGCACGCAAAACTTGTTGACCGCCCATGGAATTGACTTTATCGGACATGAAGACTGGCCCTCTTTTAGACCAGATTTAAACCCACTGGATTATAAAAGGCAACATTTGGAGGAGAAAATGTACTGAACCTCATCAGAATTTGGAATCTTTCAAAGCATCTTGGGCTAAAGCAGCGGCAGAAATAAATATGAGTGTGGTGCGAGCTGCGATTGATGACTGGCCGCGTCGATTAAGGGCATGTATTCAAAATAGGGGAGGGCAGTTTGAATAATGTAAATAAAATTGTATTCTAAATTAAATTACCTTTCATTTAATATATAATCTCTATATAATTATGAAAAAGTGTATCATTAATTTTATAAAAAGTTTTTGACAGAACTTATGACCTGACTAAGTATAAGAATAAATAACGCAGGACTGTGATGTTTTTTCCCTTAAAAACTAATTAGCAATTAGGTACTAAGCTAGGAAAAAAATAATAAAAAAATGTCATCACGTAAATTTTCTGCGAATATTCCTTTTTTCATTTTTCTGAGTATAACCGCGTATACTAGCGTTAACTTCCAATTTCCTTCATAACGGTGCGTGCTAGTAGTACTGATGACATAAATATTCATATACCCTCATTAGTCATTGTTTGTCGTGATTAAAATCATATTACGATTTACGTGTATCGACTGTGGTACAATATTTTTCTGCTTATTGTGCGGTACCTAATAAATAAGACAAATGTGTTAATACTCCAGATAACGGGTTGGGTTTGAAATTAAGTCGCCTGAATTTGAGGATTCTGTCACTGTGTGTGGGGGGGGGGGGTCAAGGGAGGTTTATCTGAAGTACCCCCATGCGTTTTGTGCTGCCGGAGCAGCGTCGAAGTATTTTTTAAAAATATTGGTAAATCACTAACTAAACAAAATGGAACGTACATTTAACTAAATTCTAACAGGATAGGTTAGAAGACCCTTCGTGGTTATTTTTTTATAACCCACTCAGAATTAGGAGCTCCGCTTCGCGGGGCTTCGTCGACCGTGCTTACCTCGACTGCGCCGCGTTGAGTGGCGTTGGGGTTACCCTTCCCCAACTCTCTCCCCCCATAAATCAGGTTTATATTGTCAAAATACTAGGAAAACGTAACCTCAAATTGGGATTTTTAAAGTTTATTAAAAAAACTAAGCACTTTCGTCAGGAAAGGGGCGTGACTACTAATTACCCTCCTTCCCCCCACCACCCCACCACCCCTAATCCAGGGACTAACTTTCAAACCTTACCCTTAACTAATACTGTTGGTTCTAAGTAAAACTTTAATTTTAAATTCATTAATTTTTGTATTTTAATGAAATTTGTTAAAATATTCTGAAATATGCATGTCATCAATAAAAACAAATCACGATGTGCTAGAAAAAATAACAAAGCTGTATTTTAATTTAACATACCTAGATATTTAAAAAAAATAACATAATTAATGGAAGAGGGAAAAAAAGTTAAATTTGGCAGGCCTGTGTAATTATTGTGAGCAAGACACTTTTCTTAAAGATAATATTTTCTATATTAGTAAGATATTAAAATAAAAAGACCTGAAGTAAATGCTTTGAAATATTGTTTCTTTTGTTTATACAGAGAAACGCAATTACGTCTTAGCTTTATTATTATACAAGAGTATAATATCATTATATTATATACCACAGGGCAAAGTCAACAATCCGAAATATGATGTGTCTACAAATGTTAAAATTTAAGTACCTAATGATGTTTGTGGCGTGTTGCAATAAATGTTTCTTTCTTTCTTTCTTTCAAATTTTTTTGAACAAGCATTGGCCCCTATTGGGGTAAAGTTAAAGACTCGCAATTCCTTAGTTAAGTACCTACTTAACTAAGGAATTGCGATTTTACTTGAGTACATACTCAGGCCATCAATGCACACTGTTACTTTATATTTACAGAGGCTGAAAAAGAAAATATACCACAGAATAGACAGCTTCCGAGCACTGAACACGAGAGGAGCGTTACGACGATGCTTCAAGAAGCAGGGCTGGCAGACATGCAAACATACAAGCCCACAGAAGTGGAACCCCTCACTGAAATAAGCCTAAAAATGTCTGGGAGGAAAAACGGAAGTGAGACATCTGAAACGCCTCTGGGGAGCCTGGACAGGACTAAAGTTTCACTAGGCGACTCTGTGCAGACTACAGATTCCATGAGATTTATACTGTGAGTAATTTTATAGTTATATCTATAGTCGTCGTCTGTCGTGAAGTCTCGTGGTGTCACAGTCACTTTGACTTAAAGTGATAGAGACAGCAAGAGACTTAACATCTTAAAATTGAGCAGCGTTTGAGTATTAGGGCATAAATACACTATTGTCTAGCTATAAGAGGTATAAAAAATTGAAATAAAACTTTTTGGTTTGCAATTTTACACCAATAGTTGGCGCTGATTTTATACCATACAAATCGTAGTTAACTTTTCGGGATCAAACACGTAAAAAAAAACTCGCATTAGGCACACTGCTTTCTCTAAAAGTTTTCGTGCGAAATGGACAACAAAAGTAAGGATAAGTCGATAAGTGTTGTACGTGAAATTAATAGCTCTTCAATTCTTATTCTAAGCAATTTTCCATTAAATTTTATACGTGGTAGAGCAATGGTGCAGCTATATTAGTAGTATAGTTGTAGTACGAATGGGTCGGCTCGACTGGGGAAGGACCACGCTCTCACAGAATACCAGCGTAAATGGCAGCTTGACACTGCTGTGTTTCGTATGGTTAGTGTAGAGAACCGGAGACACGTTTTAGTGGAAAAGAAGCATTCTATCTTAGTCCTCACGGGTGACGACGCTTCTGCATTTTGATTCTTCATTGAGGATAAATGTAGATGTCTATGGGTCACAGGATGGAGAATTCACAGGATGCTTTGGGTATATTTTGTGACCTAGCCAAAGCCTTCGATTGTGTTCACCATGAAACATTAATCAGGAAACTTCAACACTACGGTGTAAGAAGTGATGCTCTTAAATTAATTATTTCATATTTAAGTAAAAGAACGCAAAAAGTTGTCATTAACAGTATGAGTTCTTCCGGGTCGATGGTACAAATGGGCGTGCCTCAAGGCTCAATTCTCGGCCCCTTTCTGTTTCTTGTACACACTAATGACTTACCTTACATAGTAGAAGATAACCATGATATAGTATTATTTGCAGATGACACTTCTTTAATTTTCAAATTAAGTCGACAATTGCTAAAATATGACGAAGTAAATAATGCTACTCGTATATCTAAATTAGTAAATTGGTTCAATGTTAATAATTTGCATTTAAATGGCACTAAAACGAAATGTATGAAATTTATGACTCCAAATGTCAAACAATTAAATACTAATGTAATTTTAAATGGGGAGAAACTGAGTCTTGTAGATACGACCATTTTTCTTGGAATCACACTAGACGCGAAGCTTCAATGGAGCCCCCATATATCAAAACTAGCAAGCAGACTTAGTTCTGCAGCATATGCCGTAAAGAAGATTAGAAGTCTAACTAGTGTTGAAACAGCTAGACTAGTTTACTTTAGATATTTCCATAGCATAATGTCGTATGGTATTTTGCTATGGGGACACGCAGCTGACACTGAAATTATATTTGTTTTACAGAAGAGGGCCATAAGAGCAATTTATGATTTAAAGCCTTTAGGCTTTAAATCATAAAGTCGAAAGAGTCGCTGCGACAAAAATTTAAGGAAATTAATATATTAACTTTGGCCTCTCAATACATTTATGAAAAAGTAATGTACGTACACAAAAATAAAAGTAGTTTTACAAAAAATAAGTGATATTAATTCTGTAAATACTAGGAACAGACACAAGCTAGTAGTACCAGTTAGTCGACTCCATCGAGTCAGTAATTCATTCTTGGGGCGATGTATACGCTTTTACAACAAAATTCCAGAAAATATACAAAATTTGACCTGCTCAAAGTTCAAAAACTTTATTAAACTAAGTTTGTATAAAAAGGGTTATTATAATATTAATGAATTTATAGATGATAATAACCCCTGGAAATGAGGTGATCGCTACCAAGCTATTTCTAATTTATTGTGTTGTTGATTTGTGTAACATACATGATTGTAAGCTGTTATTTAAAAAAAAAGTCCCGCTGGGTTTCTTGCTGGTTCTTCCCAGGACAGAGGTTTTTTTTTCGAACCAGTGGTAATCATACAAAGGAGTGACTTTCAATAAGTATTATTTATAATCTATATTGAATAAAAAAGTTTCTGTTCTGTTCTGTTCTGTTCTCACAGCAACCACTTACCATCAGGTGGACTGTGTGCTCGTTTGTTACCCTATCCTATAAAAAAATGCCGCACGTACGTTTAGATATAGTACCGATGTAGTAGGAGTTCGTCTGGGAAGGTACCACCCTCTTACTTATTCCTGCCGCCAAATAGCAGTGCGTGCGCTGCTGTGTGCCGGTCTCAAGGAGAGAGAGCCAGTGTAATTACAGGCTGTGAGTCACTCCATCTTAGTTCTGACAGGTCACAACGTACAAGGATCTGTCAACAACGGGTGCGTTGTCACCTGCCTTCTTTGTTATGAAGTTGGCTGGAGGTCTCCATGAACTGCAATACCCACTTACCGTCAGGTGGACTGTAAGCTCGATGGTCAATTCAGATTTACATTAAAAACAAATGATAATATATACTCAACTGATACAAAATTTAAAAAAATATATCCGAAATGATCACACCACACTTTTTCTACCAAAGGACGAAATGTCGTGATGAAATGAACTCAAGATTCAGAGTTTCCTTGTTCTTTAAAAAATATATTTTGTTTACAGTGACCAATGGGGAACCGAGGGAACAATGATTAAAATCTTGCACAGAATAAAGGAGGGGACGAAGCCGCTCAATGTTACAAACCTAGTTATTAGGGGACCAACACTACCGGGAAAACGTAAAATCATAGCAGCGCGCTGTTTTGCTTCCGTACTCAGTATGTATCGATTGAACCATTAATACATTATAAAATACCTAATAATAATTGATTAATGGACTAACAATAGTTACCTAATTTCAGAATTGAAGCAGCATGGTTTTATCAAAGTATGTAAAGATCCAGAAACATTGGAAATAACAGACATATTTCTGGGACCGAAGTTTGAACAATGATCCGATTTTATTTTTGTAAATGTAATAAGTTTGTTTATGGTTGTCCGATTTTAATGTGATATTTTGTTAATTAAATTTTAATTTAATAACAATATTCGGTTGTTTGATAATGGATTTTTACTTTCCCATTTGGAATTTTATGTAACTGGTTAAATATTGAATAGTTCGTCGACCGTGATTTCGTGGAAACTATAAGTGATATCGCTTGTATATGTAGAGGTTAATAACAAATTAACCAAGGTTTATTTCGTACCTGCACACTTTTCATGTACCTTGTACGTTTTTCTTTAAAACTGAAAAAAACTGCGCTTCGGGGCACTTTTTTAGGCGCGGGGGAGGTGGTGACGCTTACCCGGGAGGGGGAGGGAGAGTGCATAAAATTTTACTTCGCTCTATAACATACATAGAATAAAAGTATTCGATTAATTTCGCCATTTTTTCCAAACATTGCTATCTAGAATGCTTGAACTATTTGGCCAATAGCGAAATACACTTAAGTGGTCACGTAAAATGCAAGTACACTCTCGATCCATTCAGTATTTCACAGAAGCGCCGACAAATTTAATTAACTGTAAATAAATAAATGTTCTATGTTTGTCAATGAAAGCCATAACATAATATTTTGTAGCGTCAGTACACAATAGCCACCGAGCCTGTGCTTTGTAGCATCCTGGAATAAGAAATGAAACTAAATAACTGATATGAACAATTTATTTGAGTAATTTGTATAATAATGATATGATTTCTGTACAACTTTACACAGGCGATCAACTAGATTCAAGTCAACTAGATAAATTTTTGAGTATCTTAATTTTAGATAGGAGTTCCTTAATAATTTACAAACTAGTAGCATGGGTAGAAGCTGTACAATGCGATTGACTTAACAGTTTTAATAGTTTTAACACTATCTACTTATTTTAAATTTACATAAAGTACAGTCGTATGCTAGAATTGGAATACGATATTGCTAAAAATTACATTTAGGACCATAGTAGGCAATATTTTTACATAATAAGAAACATTAATATTACTTATAAAGAAAATTACAATAAGGTCTTAATGGAGTGTCCCCTACCTTGGTAAGCATATTACTATGTCTTTAAAATACAAAATCAGTCTCCTACTATTTGTAACCGAGCTCTGTAAGAAATGTGTTACCTAAAATGGCTAATAATTTTTTCAATAAACCTTACGACTCAAAGGCAGTCACACGCTATCGTATTAGGACGATTAACACTGGACGTTTGGAATTGCAAAGCTTTAATTTAACGTAACATCAGTCACGCTAGTTTTTGTTCCAATTAATCCAGTTAAAATATTTCTAGCAAATGAATGCTAAGCTTCAGTTGTAAATTCGACCTTTTAACGTAAAAGAAACAACTCCAACCATTCTTCAATGTTTCACAGCCTTACTGCAGTCGTGCAAGCTCTCACTCAACATAATATATATATATAAATTACAGTCTGGCCATGTTGGCTTAGGAATGACAATAGCTACCATTTTCACACAATAATTCCTTATATTGCGAACATATTCTTGCACAATTTCTTATTCACAAGTTATTCACAATACTACATATAGTTGATTAAGAATATATAAAAAGAAATGAATCATTAAAATTAAGTTCATCATTTACCAATAAAGAAATTGTGTATTATACAATAATAATATACGAAAATTAACATAGTTCATTTCACTAATCAATATCTATATAATAGGGCGATATATATCTTACGAAATTAAACAACCACTTGTACCACAATTAGTAAAATGTGACGTTATCACAGATTGCTCGAGACATTTTTTGAGGGTGTAGTGTGGAATGTTTAACATTTTGTGGAAATGAAATGGAATATAAAATGATACTGTGTAACCGAGAACAGTGGCTCTTAATTGATAATAAGCTTTTAGAGCTGTTATAAAACTTGCTTTATACAACATTTATTCTGCTAAAATTTTACATTATTAGACCTTTGAGACATTTTATATTTTGTACAAATAAAAAGCGGTTAAGATATGGTTGGTTAATTTTTATCAATAATTTGCCAAATAT